TATATATGTGTGTGTGTGTGTGTGTGTGTGTGTGTGTGTGTGTGTATATTTATAATAAAGTGAAATGAAAAACATAGATGTTAATAAAGATAGTTAAAATATATTATAAAATAAAGACAATTGACATATGATACAAAAGATATTGCGTAACCACAGTCTTCTGCCTTGTTTTCATTAAACTTTTAATATTTTTACTGTTCTATTTACATATAATAAATCAAATATTCTAAACCTTCTAATAAATAACTAAAAATAAATCAACTATTACTCGCTAAACATATATGAAGCATTATTTAGAAAAATCTAAGAAATATGTAATATTCAATATAAAAATCTGTTGGTTTAATTTTACTAACCTATTAACCAAGCATTATTATTTGTTTGAATTCTTCCCTCTATAAAAGCTCGTCTTAAGTTGCAGCTTTTCCATATAAATGAATCATGTGTTGATCCAGGAAATTTTGCGTTAACGCTAATTATTTTCATGTTGGCATCACACACCTGACAAATAATGAAAATATAATAATTCATTGTATTATTTTTGTGTCATGAAATGATATTTATAATTTAATAACAAATTTGATAATTTATGTACTAAAATCATTTAAAATATAATCAAAAAGTTAGTCATTTACTTACTATTTGGGTATTTATGGAATGATATCCCTTTCGATTGATATACGTAAATTCCTTATGATCGGGATCATTAAGTGATGGTGCAATTATAGGAATGTGAGTTCCATCAATAGCACCCACCTATCACTCCCGGAAAGCCACCTAAACTCATAAATTTTTGTTTGACCAATGCCATCTCAGTTTCAGAACTTGGAAATTTTATCCAGTGATGAAGAAGGATGATGTTTATTGCCTTGCTTACTGCTGTTATGCAACGGCTCACTGATGGCTGGCTAATTTCTAAGGTGCTGTCTTGTGCTACTGGCATCTGATAAGAACCAGAAGCAAAAACCATCCCATATCTATCTCCTTCCATACTGATCCATTGAGTGACAACTCAGTGCATCAGTATTGCTTGGGCACCGTGCCACTCTTAAACAAGTTACACATCCTTCTCCTTGTTATCTTTTATTTGCTCATAATGGATTCATCCACATTGGAACCAAAAATCACGTTAACTCCCCTGAACGAGGAGTTAGAGAACTGCAACAAAGATCCTGGACAAGATAATAAAGACGCATCCGAAAATACTGAAAACCTACTTCTAAAAAATGCCAATAAACTCCTGGGAATCATTCTGGAGCTCTGCCTGGAACATACCAATACTAACGTGAAGCAAAAAGAACATACTAAAATAAAGGAGAGCGTTGCTAAACTATTCGGATACCTTCACGAGATGCACGCCATTGTTAACCCTGCGTTAGTGCACTGAGTTTTTTTTCGGCATTAGTGCAGTGGGGCGTTTGTCCACCCCAACATTTTTTTGGGTCCATAAACCATGGCGGACTTTAGTCCTCTCCAGGTCTTTTCCCGGGACTTTTGCTCCCTTTGGATCCTCAATACTTACTGTATTTACTGGTCTACTGTACTGTACATCTGTTTCAACCTCCAAAACTTATTACATTAGATCTTATTATTAAAGCAATAGTAAAAAACTAAATTGTTTTTTAAGCATTTTTATCACTCTGATTCAATAGCTGACATTGTACTTTGGCACTCAGTGCAAATGACAAGCAACTTGCTATGTTTGGTGTTTTCTCAATGTGTTTATGAAAGTCAGCCATTTTGAATTAAAATAAACTTAAATTATATTTATTCACATTGATTATTATATCTATATTATAAATAATAAATGTGGTCACATTATAGTTATTTTTAAAATAAAAAAACTATATAAATATTTGTAAAATTTAAAAAAAAACGTAATTAATACTGTGGGGTGTTTGGACACCCCACTGAGAACTGTTGTTTTTCTCTTACTGGAATTTCTGCAGCATCGTAGTAATTTCTGAGCATGCTCTATACATAAAATTATGAAGCTACTGAAGAGGATACAAACATTACTTGCGAAATCTATGAATAGTGCAACTTTTAAAACGTTGAGGGTGGCGAAACACACCACTGCACTACCCCAGAGTTAAAGAAGTCAGAAATACCAAAAATAATCAACATGTTGTTCAACAAATTCAGCAAGTGTCACACCAACCAACTTATAGTGACGTCATTAAACGTAACATTAAACCTAGCATCACTACTAAAAATATCCAAAAATCACTAAACCAAAAGATCAACAAAGAGGGAACCGACGGATCCCACGCTGTTTTGGTGTACCCAAAAGATCAAGACGAAGAAGAACCTCAAATGAACATGAGATCCGTGACTGAGGAACTAAAAAAGAAAATAGAGCCACACAAACTAAAGATTAAAATTAAAGCCGTTAGAGAAATAAAGAACAACGGCATATGCATTAGAGTGGGAAATAGGAGTCAGAGCGAGACACTGGAAAAAACAATCAACGAGATACAAAGTCTTCAAAACAAAATATTTTGCAAGTGCTCAGAGGGAAGAAGACCCCGAATAATACTCCTGAACGTGCCACAGTCTGTCCCAGAAGACAAAATAATAGAGTACATCTACAACCAAAACAACGTGTGTAGCAACTTAGGAAAAGAGGAGTTTGAAGAAGAATGCAAAATAAGTACCATCTTAACAAGAGGCAAGCACAATGAAAACTGCAGACACGTTGTTATATCTGTCTCGCCACCTATTCGTAATATACTGATCCGAGAAAAACACTTGTCCATCAATTGGGCCACCATCAGAGTTGATGACTTCGTCCCATTAACCAGATGCTACCGCTGCTGTGGAGTGCGACATATTGCGAAGAATTGCGACAAAGAGCAACATTGTATCCACTGTGGTAAAAACCACATGTATTCTGACTGCGACCGATTGAACGAACCGCCGTGCTGCATAAATTGCCACAACCACAATAAAGAACAACCAAATTCGAAGAGACAACCAACTAACCACGGAGCATTACATCCAAACTGCCCGATTACAAGACTAAAGGAAACAGCAATAAAACGCACCGACTATGGCCTATAGCACCTCTACCCAGCACACTCAGTCAACCACTACAACCCAGCAAGCACGCAATCAGAATACAATCTACACCCAAAGAAGCAAAGCAGCATGCTCCCAGCTTATTCAAACCGCAAACGAGAAAAACATCGACATCATTTGCATTCAGGAACCATATCACATCAACAACAACATAGTGAGGTTCGGAAGATGGAAAGTCTTGTCTGGTAACACTGATACAAGACCCAAAAGCGGAATCATATGCTGTAACTCCAACTTAGACATCGCCAAAGTCCCACACCTCTGCACTGACAGATTGACAACAACTATCCTCCAGCTCTCTGAACTAATTATTATTATCAGCACTTATTTCTCTCCCAAAGACGATGACGATGAGTGTATCAAAGAACTCTCCAACATCATCAGAAAAGTCAAAAACAGAAAACTCATGATTATGGGGGACCTAAATGGGAAATCCCCCATTTGGTTTCATGAAAAGGAAGACAGAAAGGGGAGATTAATATCAGACGTCATGGACGAATTCAACCTGATATCTACAAACATGACCACGCATCCCACTTTCTACACCCCTTACGCTAAAAGCTGGACTGATATTTGTCTTGTCTCTGACAACCTCTCACACACCATCGAGAATTGTGAAAGTTTACTATGCCCATCCGCCAGCAACCACAGGTTCATCCTAACACAAATTGAGCACAACTCTACAGCTAATAACCTAAAGAAATCATTCCAAGTTAAACAAACGAACTGGACTGCCTTCAGACAGGAATTCTCAAGAATCTGGCGCAGCTATGACTTTCCTCCTATTGCTAACCACAAAGACCTGGATGTCTACGCTGATTACTTCACTGATGCCCTAAAAACGGCGAGTAGGATTGCCCTCCATTATAAAAGCCTACCACCAAGGAAAACCCACTGGTGAAACAACTCTCTCAGCCAGATGAAGAAGGAAGTGGATTAACTAAGAAAGAAAATCACCAAAGCCAATAGCGCCAGTAATAGGGAACACTTCAGAAATCAATACAAGAAAGCCCGTAAGATTTATAAAAAGCAAATCAACAAGACACGTACAAACTCGTGGAAAAATTTCTGTTCTGAATCTAACAAAAAGGGCCCCTGGGAACTACCATACCATTTAGTGATGAACAAGCAGAAGCACTCCTTCCTACCAGACATCATCGACCCTGATAATAACAATTGCAACCCCGACAGCATCAACATAGAAGAAAACATCAGAAACATCCTTGTTTACCACTTTCCAAAGGACAACCAAGACAACGAAACAGAAGATCAAAAGCATATTAGAAGCTCTATTAAAAAAAAAACCCAAAACACTAATGACAGACTGTTCACATTCAAGGAAATTGGCAAGGCCCTCAACAGCATGGCCAACAAAAAAATCCCCAGGAATTGATGACATCACGACAGAAATGCTCAAAGAGGCTTACAAGGAAGTCCCAATTGCTTTTGTCCACCTCCTAAACACATGTCTTACCACCGGCTTCTTCCCTAACAATTGGAAGATTGGCAACATTAAGTTAATTCCCAAAACTACCAACCCTAAAGATGCAGGAAATTACAGGCCAATCAGTCTTCTACACACAATGGGAAAGCTACTGGACGGTCTAATAATAGACCGCATCAACTGGCATCTTATTAATACGAATCAACAAAACAACAACCAATACGGATTCCGCCCAGGGAAATCCACCATCGATGCCGCTCTCAATACTAAACAGATCATCCACAAAGCATGGAGCAAAAATCAACACACCATTTTAATAAGTATAGACTATCATAAAGCATTTGATCACCTGTGGTGGCCAAGTGTGCTCAAACGCCTCTGAGACGTTAACTGCCCAGATAACATTTACCAACTCACCAAGGATTACCTAAATAACAAGAAAATAACCTACATTAGCAACAGTTTCCGGATCAACATGGACACCGACAGAGGATGCCCACAAGGCTTGAGACGCGGCCCTGGATTGTGGAACCTCGTGTTCGATGACCTTCTTAACTCCATACCTCCGAACCACAATTGTACTCTCCAAGCCTTTGCGGATGACCTCCTTCTCATGATCTCCCATCATAATGTAGATAGGCTTGAGGAGATCAACAAATACTTAAAACACATTTACAAATGGAGCCAGACCAACAAGCTCCCTATCAACTACGACAAAACGGTGGGCATGGTTTGCACGAGAAAAAACAAGAGAAATAGACTTCAAAGACCACCCAGGATATTTATTGGTGGAAATAAAATAAAAATTAAACAAGACATCAAATACCTGGGCATCCACTTTGACGACAAGCTTAATTGGCATACGCATGTCCGTAACATCTGCCAGCATATGGACAAAAAAGCAAATCTCTTAAACTGGATAACGGCTAAGACCTGGGGCAACAATTATATCAACTCGAAAATTATTTACAAAGCGGCGGTTGAACCAGCCCTATTATATGCCGTCCAAGTGTGGAACGAAGCTTTAAATAATGTGCATATGCGACGCAAGTTGACCTCAATACAAAGGAAATTTACAATCAAGATTAATAAGGCTTACAACACTGCCCCCACTAATTCCTTACAGGTTATGGCGAATATTCCACCAATTCACCTTCAAGCTAAACAGATCACTTGGCTCTTGTACCTAACCTCCAAAAACCCCCAAACAATCCAGCAACCCTTTGACAAGAACGAAATCAGCCTTGACTTTATAGTGAACACCTCCTCAATCAACAAGAATAAAGAGAACTACGGAATTAACAGAAAACTCAAAAAAGACAAGTATTCTTGTCACCCAGCAGACGAACCGAACTACACCACCCACTGGGACAATGAAGATAACCGAAATTTCAAAGCCAAATGGAGTATCTACACTGACAGTTCCAAAAACAACAACGACACAGGTGCTGGCTTCACGATTAAGAATTCTAATAATAGAACTACCTACCAGTGTTACCACAAGCTTGCATCTCACTGCTCTAATGCTCAGGCAAAGATGTGGGCAATTTTTAAAGCCCTCGAACATATCAACAATAACCTGGACACTTATAAAGGAAATATCTATATTTTCACAGACAGCAAAATGGCTCTCCACAGCCTGAGCAATAACAACCACCCCACAGTTCTGACAAACAATGTGCAGAACATGGCCAAGACTTTAGGTGCCACCCGCAATCTTAACATCGCTTGGGTCCCGGCTCACACGGGTATCGATGGCAACGAGATGGCAGACAAGTTGGCCAAACTAGGTGCCAACTCCTCCACTCAACCATCATTCACCGACCTGCCTCAGAAGAAGCTCAAGAAAGAGATTAAGATCATCATCAACCAAGCTTGGCAAAACAATTGGGAAACTGCCAATACGGGCAGGAACTGTTTCAGCTTCATACCTTCTATTGACATCAGAATCGCCGCCAGGCATTTCGTGCCCAACAAACTCATCACGCAGGTCCTCCTTGGCCACGGCAACTTCCCAGCTTACCTTCATAGGTTTGGCTTCAAAAACTCTAACAAGTGCTCTTGCACTGCAAACTCTATCAACGATGCAATGCACTTCACTTTCAACTGTCCAATCTATGACAATTACCGTGCTGAACTACAGCACAAATACCTCCTGGAGAACTTTAGCTGGCCACCAAATCCTACAATTATTTTCCAAAATAAAGGCCTTTGGAAAATTTTTAAAAACTTTATCATAAAAACAGGTGCTCTCAAAGAACACACCGAGACTGACAATCCTGAAAAAGAAGACCCTACCGAAGTCCATTTGCCCAATGTCGACAACAATCATCACACCACTGAAGATGAAGACTCCGAATATGACACCGACTAACTCAACACTATCACTCTTTTTGTAATACGCACAGTTATCTTGTGCACTGTATATATTGTAAATATTATCATTAATTGTATCTACTTTTTATAACTCATGTTAACCTCCTGATTTTGTTACAGCGATCAGAGCTGACTTGTATTGTATATAGTAATTTTTTCATGTATTCCCATCATTTATCTCACGTATCCTGTTTTTATCTGTATTTAATTGTATTTGTATGTTTGTATCTCATGCCTTATATTCACCCTATCCTATCTAACTTTCATTCACACTTCTCAGCTCAAACTGTTTCTTCTTTCTAACTCTAACAGGGCACAAGACTGTACCATAACAGTCAGCCCTCTAATATCTTTAGTAATATGTCTATAGCAGACTGCGCTCAGTCCACTCTGCCTCAGTCGCAACCAACTCCATCTGATACATCAACAAAATCTTACGCTGATATTACAAAAATTAATACCAGACCAAGCTACACGACACAGACTATCAATAAGTCCCTTAAACAAAAAGTAAACTACGAAGATTCTTGTGATAGCTTTGCAGTACTTTTATACCCTAAGACTGATCAGGAGGGCAACATGACTAACATGTCCCAAATAGAAGGAAAAATTAAAAAGGAAAAAATCAAGCCCAGTGCACTAAAAATAAAGATTAAGGCAGTCAGACAAGTCAAGGGTGACAGTCTATGTTTCAGGACTGACAGCCACAAGGAGGCTCAGTTACTGGAAGATGCCATTAAAAATTTACCTGAAGTCTCCACTAAAATAAGCAGCAGAATCTCGAAAGGCAGGATGCCTAGGGTTATTTTAACTAACGTGCCCATAGCGGTGGATGACACTAAATTACTATCCACTGTGTACGACCAAAATGAAGATCTACACTCCTTCAGCAGAGACGAATTCATGGATAACACAAGGATTAGCACTATTTTTTACAGGAACTCAGCTAAAGAAAATTGTAGACACATTGTTCTCTCAACCTCACCCAGGATTAGGAATTGTCTCATTCACATTAAATACATAGCAATAGAGTGGACCAGAATATACGTAAACAATTACATCCCGCTCATCAGGTGCTATCAGTGTTGCGGCTTTAACCATCTAGCAGCCAACTGTCCCAGTAAACAAAAATGCAGCTACTGTGGTAAGGGGCACAGATTTAGCGATTGCCGCTGACTTGATCGTATCCCTTCCTGTACAAATTATAAAACAGCTAATAAGGAGCTCCCAGATCACAGCAAATATCTAACTGACCACAACTCTTTCAACCCAAATTGTCCAATAACCATCAAGATGAAAGCACTCATCGTCAAGCAAACTAATTATGGGTTATAGGCATAACAAATACAATCTGAAGATGTTACAAATCAACTTACAAAGGTGCAATGCTGCTGCATCGTATGCCCTACAGCAGGCAACGCACAGGGACACGGATATAATTTTTATTCAGGAACCATACACTTTTAAAAATAAAATCACCATGTTTGGCAGTCATCGCATCATTAATCATAATATTCCTTCTCTTCCTCCTAAATCTAAATTCGTTATCATCAATGATAACATTGACGTACAACTTCTGCTGCAACACTGTACCAACAGCTTCACCACTGTAAGCCTGAAACTAAACAGAACTTACTACATACTGATCTCCTTTTACTGCCCACCTTCGGACGACCTCAATGACTACCTCGAGCTTCTTGCTGACACGATGCAACAACTGCAGGATTATCCTACCCTAATTTCGAAAGATTTCAACGCAAAAGCCCATTCCTGGCATAGCCCGATTGAGGACCCCAGAGGTTACCTCGTCGAAGAGTTCATGAACCAGCTCCAGCTGTCTTCTCTTAATACCAGCACTCTTCCAACTTTCTCCTCCACAAACGGAGATAGCTGAATAGACATCTGCCTGGGTTCTAAGAAGTTAGACACCGCAAATCTGCAATGCTACACCGTTGACGTACACTCAGTGAGTGATCATAATTATATTAAAATTATTATCAATGACTCCACGCCTCTGCCAAAATTCTGCATCTCACAACGCACTAATTGGGACTTGTACTACCACCTCATTCAGTCTCAATGGAATCCTGATTCTATCATCAATATAAATGACCCTTCAGACCTGGATATTTTAATTGATAACCTAAATAAGACCATCCACAGTTCTTATTTTCAAGCAACCACTGTCAAAACAATCAAACGTCATGCTCCCTGGTGGAACTCTGACCTTGCCAGCCAAAGGTCTGCCCTTAGGAGGGCAAAGCGGCATATGAGGCAAGAAACCAACGCCGATCGCAAACAGGGCCTAAGGAACGATTATATGGATCTCTTCAAAACTTACAAGTTAGTTAGTTAGTTTGTTAGAGTTTATTGGCGCAAGGGCCATACAGGCCAAGCTGCGCCATGGCAAATGGTATATATAAATAAATCTATATATATAAGATGTTCAATATAAATAAATAAATATACTAATAAATAACAAAATCAATAACAAAACCACATATAACAATATACATATAAATAATAACAAGATATATACATAAATGAGTAAATAAATAAATAAATAATCAACAAGGTATATATATAAACATAACCTAGATAAATAATTAAATATGTCTATAAATATTATTCACTTTCAAAAAGTTCAATAATTTGTCAAGATTTGGCCTCTTGCCCAAAATCTCTCTCAGACTTGCATTTCCAAAATGCTGTCTATGACTTTGATCAAAAGCTGTGCAGTTGCACAGCATGTGTTTTACACTTAGAAAGCAGTTGCAATGCTCGCATACTGGCTGGTCTTCACCCTTCAAAAGGTATTGATGAGTCAACCGAGTATGCCCAATTCTCAAGCGACTAAGAATTACTTCAGATCTCCTGTCATACTGTTTATTATGTGTCCAATTTTCTATATTTGGCTTGATCTCATGTAGTTTATTGTGGACTTGTGCATTCCACACGTTTTGCCATCTCTCTGCTAGTCGTTTTTTAACTACTAGCTTCAAATCGACTCCTTCAATACGCATTATATGCTGTAAAGGAGTAGCTGACTTTGCAGCTGCGTCAGCTTCTTCATTCCCTTTTATACCTACATGGCCTGGGACCCAACAAAATTTTACAAAGAAATTACTCGCAGTAAGATGGCAAAAGAGCTTACGGATTTTAATCACTATAGAGTGAGAACTAGGTTCACATGAAATCAAAGCCTGAAGTGCACTAACTGAGTCAGTGTAAATAACACAAGAACGATGACCTTTCCTATTTATACACTTTAAAGCTAAATGAATAGCATGCAGCTCTGCAGAAAAGATGGAAGAATTCAATGCAATTTGTTCTGCCACGATTTCATCCTGGCAAACGAAGGCTGAGCCAACGTAATCATCAGATTTATATCCATCTGTATAAATAAAAATTAAATTCCTGTCATTGTGTTGAATTTCTGCAAAGTGCTGTCTGTAGACGTAGTCTGGGGTGGATTCCTTTGGAAATTGCTTTAAGCTAAGGTCAACATTTATCACAGGAGTTGACCAAGTAGATATACTACAGACCTCTAGCTGTGAAATGTTGCCTGTGTTCAGGTCAATCGTGCTGCTTACATTCTCCATTCTTATGGCGAAGGTAGGGACACTACTTGGACAAGCTTCAAATAGCCTTTTCACTGAGTATCTGATACTGTACAATCAACTAAAGGTTTAGTGTGAGATTTCTGTTTTATATAATAAAAAAGAGACAACTGTTCTCTCCTAAGAAATAGTGGAAGCTCATAAGCCTCCACATACAGACTTTGTACAGGAGAGGTGCGAAAAACACCAGTGCACAAACATAGAGCTTGATGATGGATTGGATCCAGCATCTGAAGGGTAGATTCTCATGCAAAGCCATAAACAATGCATCCATAGTCCAACTTAAAGCAGACAAGGGCCCTATAAATCCTGAGCATAGAACATTTGTCTGCTCCCCACGATGAGCAGCATAATACCTTTAGAAGGTTCAGAAATTTTAAGCATCTACTCTTCAGGTTGAACAAGTGTGGCAAAAATGTCAGTTTTTGGTCGAAAGAAACACCCAAAAACTTAGCCTCATTCACCATTGGGATTTTATCCCCATTTAAATAAATTTCAGGATCCACGTGCATTCCACGCCTTTGGCAAAAGTGCATGCACGAGGTCTTCGTTGCATTAAATGTAGAGCCATTGGTCTTGGACCAATCGTATATGCGATTTAGGGAGGTTTGTAGTTGTCTCTCGATAAAATTCATGTTGCTAGACTGGCAGGAGATCTGAAAGTCATCCACATACAAAGAGTGTTTCACACTAGGAGAAAGACAGTTAGCTATGCTATTAATTTTAATTAGAAACAGAGTCACACTCAAAATAGAGCCTTGAAGAACACCTTCTTGTTGCATGAAAGGCCTAGATAAAGTGTTGCCCATCCTGACTTGGAATCTTCGATTCTCTAAGAAGTTTATGAAAATTAGCAAATTACCCCGCAATCCGAAATGGTCCAGATCACGGAGTATCCCATATCGCCAACAGCGATCATAGGCCTTCTCTATATCAAAAAACACAGACACTAAGTGCTGTCGTCTAACAAACGCTTCGCGTATACATGTTTCAAGGTTTACTAAGTTATCAGTGGTACTTCTGTTCCTACGAAAACCACTCTGATGTGGTGAAAAGTATTCATTTTTCTCTAAGAGATACATCAGACGTCTGTTTACCATCCTCTCAAAGAGTTTACACAGGCAACTTGTCAGAGAGATTGGTCTGTAATTAGAGGGATTCTTGTGGTCTTTACCAGGCTTGGGAATGGGAATAATGATAGATAGCCTCCAAGAGTCAGGAAAAGTATGTTCTGTCCATATTCTGTTAAACAGACACAGGAGATTAGAAAGGGAATTGTTTGACAGATTTTTAATCATGCTGTAGTGGATTTTATCCGGGCCTACAGCACTATTCCCCGAGCGAGAGATCGCTGTATGTAGTTCTATGCTGGTGAATG